GTCACCCCCCCCCCCCGGTCTCCATGAAGCCGGGGGGCTGCGTGGTCAGGAGGAGGAAAGGCCCGTGGGCAGCCTTTGCCTTCGGGAAGGTCAGGGCGAGGTTTTATCCCGGCGTGTTTGTGTTTGCTGCCTTGTGGTGAGGTGCAGTAGCTGGCAAGTGGGGAAGCTGGGCGCTTGAGAAATGGCCGGGGCGATGCTGCCGTAAATACACAGGTCCGTGAAATCCCCCGAGCTCCCGACCGGGAAAGCCAGCCTCGGAATATAAACTCAAATGAACTGGAGTGCCTGTGATCCGACGTGGAGCCGTTGCGCTGCAAAGCGTGCCAATTTCACCTATGATAAATATCCCCCGAGCTCCCGACCGGGAAAGCCAGCCTCGGAATATAAACTCAAATGAACTGGAGTGCCTGTGATCCGACGTGGAGCCGTTGCGCTGCAAAGCGTGCCAATTTCACCTATGATAAATAGACAAGGCTCTCTTGGTATTTGTGGTATTTCCGTGCACTGTGCTGTAATAATAGAAGTGACCTTGGGTATCACAAAGACCAAGGCTGTTAACTGCAATTTGCATTGTGATCTCTAAGGTGAATGGCTATTTTTTTTTTCAAGTATTAAATTATACTGTACTACTGTATCATAGCGGACAGAGTGTCTGTAACCGTGCTGAATCAGAATAAAAGTCCATTTAGCTGGTATCGTTTCTTCCACAATGGCTGTAGGCAGAAGTGGAGACTAATCCTTTCCTCGGTAGAGCCTCCCTGCTTCTAACAGGATGAACTTTAGGGGCTTTCTGAGAAATAGCGAGCATTTAAACCATTACGCTGAATAAACACCAGTGGCCCCCATCCTGAGATGGTCATACTTTTTTATCAAAGGTTCTCTAAAAACTACCCTATAAAACATCTGTGAGTGCAGAAAGCTGGGCTGTGCCTTTTTTTTTAAATTTCGCCCCCCACCACCTTTCCAGCGTGGGAGTTTATTTTTCAGAGCAGGGATTGTATCTTCTTGTGTGTTATGTCTTGTGTATGTAGGGCAGCACTTACTAGAATACCAATGCATCTGTACCTGTGTGTGTGAATTATTGCCGTTATGATAAGAATCTACCAGCAGAGGTCACCTAGCTACATATAAAAAGCAATCGTAGCCCACTAAAGTAATAAACTTTATCAGTACCCGAAAGTTGGGAAAGAAATAAGGGGATTTTTTTTTTTTGGCTTCTTGGTGTCCAACGGAAAAAAAAAAAGAAAAAAGAAAATGCAGTTTGTGTGGGTTGAAAGATAGCTATCGTTTCTGTATAGAATACAAATATGCATAGCCTTTCCAGGCCGGTCACTTAAAGACCGTATTTCATGCCAGCATTTACTTAAAAGAGATTTTTTTCTGAGATTCCTCTTTGTAAGATGTGCACTCGAAGCCAAAATGACTCACATTGGTGTAAGATATTTTCATCTTTGTCAAAATGCCTTGTTAGAAAATATTTAGTTAGCTGGCAAAAATGGCATGCATGTTTCTGCTGAGTAACAAAGCACAAATATTTTGCAGAGACCTCTGAAGGTGCTATTCCTTTTTTTAAAACAAAAAATCTTCAGCAATTTTTGGTAAGGATTCATAAATATTATTGTTGTCAGAGATCCATATCCTCTGATTCAGCGATTTCTGATAGCTCTGCTTTTGGATCTTGAGGCTGACCAGAATCAAGCTATTCCTGTTGCTTGTTTGAGTAATGCAAAAACAAATTTATGTTCAGTTGCCAGCGGTCTGGATGGGTCATTTCAGACCAGGGGGATTGCCAGGCCAGGAGGTGGGATTCCCCAGGAAAGGGGCAACCGCCTGACCCTTGCTTGGACACCGGGAGGTACCAGGCAGGTCTGTGCCAGGCAGAAATACCCTTTGGGAGTTTTTCCAAAGAAGGAAGATTCGCTCACTCTGTAGCTGCTTGTAACAGGAGTCTGTAACAGTATGGGTCACGGTAGGGGTCTTACAAAATAAGCAGAACAGGACTAAGATTTGGCTAGCAGGCAGCATTTGTAGAATGGACACAGAGTCGTGCGCTGTCGCACATAGTCGTGTGCCCAGCGAGCTGTCCTGGTGCACACCAAGCCGGCTTGCCCCGAGGGCCAGGACGTTGCCCGCAAAGCCGGCTTGCCCCGAGGGCCAGGACGTTTGTGCTGTGTTTGCTCTGCTGCCCCTTGGGGCAAGGGTGGAAGCAGGAGCTGACTGCCCCAGCAGCAGGCTGCTTTCCCTTTCTAGCTGGAGCACCCTGGCCAGCCACAGCTGAGACACTGTGCCGTTATGGGGTGAAAATTTAGCTGGCCAGCCAGGCTCTGGTTTCAGTGTTCCAGCTAGAAAAGGCCATGGCACTGGCTGAGTTTTCTAAAGGACGTTTTGTATAGTGTCAGAAATGTGAAATGCCTGCTTATCAGAAAAACCATAGAAGGAGATTGTAAAGCTGTGCCTTTCTGTCTAGGGAACAAGGGGAGCGACATGCTGTTTTCTGCAGATTTGAAACACTATTCTCCATTAAGCGAATGTTGTGTAACTTGTCCCTTTATTTCACTCCCTGCCCCTCTTGCACCTTCCTTTCCTCTTTGGGCAGTCCAGTCCCCCTTGTGCCCCTTCTTGCACAAGAGGAGGGGGGGAAATTCCCCCTCCTCCCTTACATAAAATGCAAATTAAAGAGCTAACTAATTTAGGTTTCTTGGAAGTGACCTTATTCTCATCTGCTGCTACCCAGCCCACAGTGTATGTAACTCCCTTTACAGATGTCAGAGTCCTTGGGCAGAAGCAGAATTTCTGGAAAACTACCTTCTTTTCCCCCCCCCTGCCGTCAATGCGCTTGTGAAAGGATGTAGGTGCCTGCCTCACGCTGCGTTTGTGGACCTCTGAAAGTGCTGAGGAGAGGAGGAGGGTCAGCCACTAGCCCCGCAGCCTCAGCCCCACCTGTCTGTAGCAGACGGCCCGGCCCTCTCACATCAGTCCCATCAATGGCCATTTGCCTTCCAGAATTCACTCCACATGCAAAGCACTCTTTAAATTGGGGAGGAAGGTGACAGCTGTAAGACA